AGAAAGAAAGAAAGAAAGAAAGAAAGAAAGAAAGAAAGAGAGAGCGAGAGAGAGAGAGAAAGAAAGAGAGAGAAAGAAGGAAACTGAAAGCAAAATCGAGCCACTGGGGCTGGGATCAGACTCCCCGGAAACACAGGGGCGAAAGGCAGGCAGCTTTGATGGTGGATTTAGGGTGTCTACTTATTGGGGGTTGGCACGGAAGCCCACTGGGTGGGGATGAGGGAAGGGCCATAACCAGACCAAAGATGTCCCCACTCCAGTGAAAGGGTGTCTAGGAAAGAAAGCCTCAGAGCACCTCCTCCCAAACACATACCCACCAATCCACCAGGAGTGGATTAAAGTTAACGCACTGCTGGGTCATCCAAAGAGGGCAAAGCCTCCAACTGCCATGTCCCCACCCGGGCAGGAGGGATCCAAAGGCTAGTGAGAAGGGGCGAGGCAGACAGAAGAGTCGACAGCAGAGAGACCAGACCCTTTCCCCGCCCCCCCCAACCGAGGCCTCCAGCCTGGAGAGGGCTCCCATCCAACGTTGAGCCAAGTTCAGAGATGTGACTATGCCACCGACCTGAGCCTGAGTCCCGGGCAGAATTCTCAGCCAGGGGGTGGGGCAAGGTTCCACCACAGAACAAAGGGGCAAAAGAGGAAGCCAAGTTGTGTTTTGACTGAGATGTCAACAACATGAATTTTTCTGCCTTACCAGCTAGGGCCGCGAGGACGAAATGTGATGTATCGACCAGATCGGTGGCAACACAGAGGAAATGTGTATTTCTGCCTGGGAAGTTGGAGGCGAGATTCTCAGAGCTGAGTCCTAATGAAACAGACACAGCAACTGCTACTACCCGTTCTGGCTCTGTGCTCGTCAGGCGCTGCATCCACACTGTGTTAGCAGAACCCCATGGCCGCCCTTTGAGGTTTGGGTTACCATCCCATTCTACAGCTGAGGCCATCAAGGCGCAACCAGAGGAAGGGGCTTGCTCAAGGTCACAGCTTATGACAGGGGCTGTCAGCATCCTGACCACAACCCTTGACACCTGCTGTCCCACGCACTCCCCCCAACCGTCAGTGCCGCAGGACCATGGTGGGTTTGTCTGCTGGGCAGGTCAGAAGGACTGGGGACCCACAATGATATATCACTTCCTCCTACCCCATTAGGATGGCAATAATAACAGTAATCACAAAACAGAAAATGGGGGCAAAATACAGGAATCCCTAAAATGTCACTTACTGGATGCCAGTGGAGCTTTAAAAAGCCTTCTGTGCCTGGGTGGCTCAGTCAGTTGAGCGTCCCACTTTGGCTCAGGTCACGATCTCATGGTTTGTGGGTTCAGGCCCCCCGTCGGACTCTGGAGCCTGCTTCAGATTCTGTGTCTCCTTCTCTCTCTGCCTCTCCCCCACTTGTGCTCAGTCTCTCTCTCAAAAATAAATAAAATGTAAAAAAAAAAAAAATTAAAAACAGACAATAGTATCGATGAGGATGTGCAGAAAGTAGAATTCTAAAAAATTTTTTTTAATGTTTACTTATTTTTGAGAGACAGAGACAGAGAGACAGAGCATGAGCAGAGATGGGGCAGAGAGAGAGGGAGACACAGAATCCGAAGCAGGCTCCGGGCTCCGGGCTGTCAGCACGGAGCCCGATGCGGGGCTCGAACTCACAAACCGCGAGATCATGACCTGAGCCAAAGTCAGACCCTCAACTGTCCGAGCCACCCAGGCGCTTCCCCCCCAGCAATTGCACATCTAAGTATATTCCCGAAAGGACTGAAAAAATTTTCATACCAACACTTGCACATGAACGTGCATAGCAGCATGATTCAGGGTAGCCAAAAGGGAGAAACAACCCAAATGTCCATCAGCTGGTGAATGAATAAAGCAAAGGTCCTATCTCCATACAATGCAATATTATCCAGCCCTAAAAAGAAACTCAGTATAGGGGCACCTGGGGGGCTCAGTTGGTTGAGTCCGACTCTTAAAGTGAGCGTGGAGCCCACTTAATAAAAAAATTTAAATTTAAATAAAAAAAAGGAAAACGTATTAATACATGCTACAACATGGACGAAACGTTATGCTAAACATCACGAACATTATGCTAAGGGAAAGAGTCCAAACACAAAAGGCCACATAGTGTGTGATTCCACTGATAGGAAATGTCCAGAATGTGCAAGCCCATAGAGACAGCAGATTAGTGGTTGCCAGGGGCTGAGAGGAGAGAGGATTGGGAGGTACCAGGTTTTTGGGGATGGTGATGGAAATATTCCAGAATCACATACTGGTTGTACAAGATTGTGAATACACAGGAAAATTTTTAAAGGGCAAAAAGTAAGTTCTGTATTGTGAATTTGTCTCAAATATATATATATATATATATACACACACATATATACACACATATATATACATATATACATGTATGTGTATATATATGTATATATATACACACACACACACACACAGCATATAAATGTAAATTGGTATAGCCACTTTGAAAACTAGTATTGTGGGTTTCCCCCAAAATTAAAAATAGTACTACCAGGGTATCTGGGTGGCTCAGTCATTCTAGCGTCCAACTTCGGCTCAGGTCACGATCTCATGGCTTGTGGGTGCGAGCCCCGTGGTGGGCTCTGTGCTGACAGCCCAGAGCCTGGAGTCTGCTTCGGATTCTGTGTCTCCCTCTCTCTGCCCCTTCCCCAGCTCACGCTCTCTCTCTCTCTCGAAAATAAATAAATATTAAATTAAAAAAAATAGTACTACCATATGATCGACCAATTTTACTTCTGGATATTTATCTGAAGGAAACTAAATCAGTATCTTGAAAAGATATCTACACCCCCATGTTACTGCAGCATTATTTACAATACCCAAGACATGGAAACAACCTAAATGTCCATCAATGTATGAACGGATATATATAGATAAATATAGATATATACATATAGATATATACTATATACATACGCACACACAAATATGTATACACGTATATAACTGACATATAGTATGCGTGTATATGCGTATACATATAAGTGTATACACACACATATACACAACGGAATACTATTCGTCCATAAAAAGAAGGAAATCTTGCCATTTGCTACGTCACAGATGGACCTTGAGGTCATTACGCTAAGTGAGATAGGTTAGAGAATGACAAATACTGCATGACCTCACTTATATGTGGAATCTTAAAAACAAACAACAACAACAAAACAACAACAAAAACAAACCACTTGAGGAGTACCTGTGTGGCTCAGCTGGTTAAGCGTCCCATTTCAGCTCTGGTCAGGATCTTGTGCTTTGTGTGATCCTGCATCAGGCTCTGTTCTCAGTGTGGAGCCTGCCTGGAATTCTTTCTCTACGCCCCGCCCTCTCTCTCAGAATAAATAAATCAACTTTAAAGCAAAACAAAAGAAACACCTGAATTTACATACAGAACAGATTGGTGGTTGCCAGAGGCAGGGGGTGGGGGAAATGGGTGAAGCGGGTCAAAGGGTACAAACTTCCAGTTACAAGGTAAATGGGTCCTGGGATGCGATGGACAGCCGGTGACCAAAAACTGTTTAAATAAATGAATAGAAATGTACATATAGAATAATGAAGTATTAGGCAGTTGACATTCCTGGAGGAGCTTCGACCCAGCGAGGCACAGGATTGGCGTAAAAAGTCCGCCCATCTCCAAGGGGTTCCTCAGTGAGACTGAACCACAGTGGCCCCAAAGGAGGTCTCCATACTAACCCACAGCTTTCCTGGTTGCCTTCCGCGACTCCCCCCAAACCCCCATCCCAGGTATAAACTGCCAGAACACCAAGTTTGGTTCCAGGGGCTGCTTTTGGGGAGAACGTCCACTAAAACAGCCGCTAAGTTGTCAGAGCCTGGATCCAAACCCCAATCTGCTCCTCCTTCTGTCACAACCTTGTGGATGAAATGCTCTGAGAACCTCCTGTAAAAGCGGTGGGAAGGAAATTCTAGGCTAGAGGAACGGCATGTTCAGAATGCTCGGGGACAAAAGAAATTCACTGAAGCTGCCAGGAAGGGCGGGGTGGCCACGCCACAGCTCAGAGTGAAGGGACAGCAGGGGCCAGGCCACAAAGCGGGATATGAGTCCGCGGCCTCTAGTCTGTAGTGGGTCCACTCACTGGACTGCCCAAGACTGCCTGGCACCCGGGAGGAAGGCTTGCCCTTCCTGGTAACTTCAGCGAAGGGCTGGGGAGCCTCCGCTTTCCTTTTCCTAGAGGGAACACAAAGGAAATGTGAGACCAGGAGGCGGACGCTCCTCTCGCTACCCTGGCCGCCATTACCACCCCATCTTCATCTCAGGAAATGGCTCTCTGTCTTCCAAGGGGACCAGGCCAGAACCAAGAAGTCATTCTTAACTCCACTCTGTCCTCATGTCCCAGCAAGCACAGGTGACCTTGCCACCAAAACGGATGTCAGATCACTTCTCCGATGGCACTGCCCAGAGCAAGGGCCCATTATTACCCACCTCGACTAGAGGAGTCACCTCCTCTCTGGCCTCCTGTCCTCCCTGGCCCTGGGACATAGCTCCTGCTGTCTCAGGAGGGTGCCTGTAAACACTGGAGCTGGGGCTGTCCCTCCTCCATGGCTCCCACCTCACTGGGAAGAAAAGCCAAAGTCCTCTGCAGACTGACAAGCATGCCGGGCACCATCTCCTCCCTGCCCTTGTTTCCTCCTCCCTTCCTTACTGCACTCCAGTCATATGGGCCTCCAGGCTGTCCCTACCTCAGGGCCTTTGCATATTCAGCACTCTCTGTCTGGTACCTTCCCTCTCTGATATTGTCACAGGAGGAGCCTCCTCACTTCCCCGTGTCTTTGCTCAAATGTCGCCTTCTCAGTCTTTCCCAGAGTACTCTACTTAAAAGTTCATTAACCCTCACATTCCCTATCCCTCCTATTCTATTTCCTCTCAGCACTAATCACCAACACTCACCCCATATATTTTATTTTTGTTTCTTATCGGTCCCCCGCCGTTGAAACCATCTCTGCACAATGACGAAATGTTTGTCTTTCCTCATCACTGCCCTGTCGCCAGCTCTTGGAAGGATTCCTATCACAGCAGGCACCCACTGAACACCGCAGGGCCTGTCGGGAGAGATCCGAAAGAACCGCGCTTTTATGGCTGCAAGGAAGACTTGGGCCGCGCGGGGGAGCTCGCCGCCCGCGCACTGTGGACCAAAGTTCAGAGACCCATTGCGGAAAGCCCGAGAAAAATCCGCCGGAAAATAACCCCCCCTCTCCCTCCCGCACAGGATTTTCCCAGTCCCTTCGAGGCTTGGGGCGTCCCTGGTCCTACCCTGCACCTTTGCCCAGACAGTTCGGGGAGGGATTTCAGCACCCACCACACCCCGCGTAGGAAGATCCCCGTGGAAATCCCTTAGGAATCATCAGGGCAGGAGAAGGGATGCTTTTCTAGCTGATGAGTGACTCGAAGCCCTATCCTCCGAAGGAAGGGCTCGAACGTCCCCTGGGCTCCCTCCCTTCCCCTTCTGCTGCGCGACCTCCCTGGCCCCTCAGAGGTCTCCATGGCGACGCGACGCGCATCCCACAACAGGAAGTCTTAGGCGGCATGGCTAAGCGCTGGGAGACCCCAGGGCCCCCAGCCTCGACGTGGTAGATGCCAAGCCTTGGGGTCACACGCGTAGGCCGTGGCCTTGGGGTGGAGGACGCGGCGGCGGTCTATAGACACAATCCCTCCCCCCACGCCCCTTCCTAATGGAACTAGCCCCAGCAAATATCCGCACAATTTACCGCTGGCGCCCAGAGTTCAAGAGCCAGGTGCAGCGCTTGGAGTTTGGCCGCCTCCTCTCCTCGCCCCACTTCGGGGCGTAGGAGTTGTTTCCCTGTGGAAAGGAAGGGTCCGAGCGCCCCCTCTCCATTCAAGGTGTGCTACCTCAGTTTCCCCGAGGGGCCTGGGGACGGCAGCGGGGACCTCGGCGCGTCAGGACCACGCGGCTTCCTTCCTTTTTCTGGAGGCTGTAAAGACGCCCCCGCGGCGGAGGCCGAAAGGAGAAGCGCGGCCGCGGGGCAGCCGCGGCCTTGGCCGGGGGGGGGGGGGGGGGGGGGGGGGGGGGGGGCGCGATGCAGGGCCCCGGACGTGATGACGCCTGGAGTCCTCACCCCATGGTTTCGCGGACCCTTGCATGCGCCCAGGCTTGTTCCTGCGCTTCTTGGGAAATCTGTCAGCTGAGCAAGGGCTTGCCCCTTGGGGGAGGGGCACCCTTGATAGAGAGTGCCCCGAAGAGATTCCTGGGTCCCCACCCTAAAGAGGGATCGTCCACTCGGTTAAAGAGGCCTGCATGCGCTGGACAGTCAGACGAGTTCGAACCTCCTCGCCGCTCGGAGGCTCGGTTTACCCCTCTGTGGAATGGGCACAATAACAGTCCCTACCGTCCAGGGTAGTTGGCGGTATTCCGTAGAGCGCTTAGAGCAGCGGCACCGCAGCACCGCGGTGAGCCCGGCCCCGGGACCGAACCTGTCGCGCCGGGAGCAGCCCCCCCTGAGCTCGCCCGGCCGCCGCGCCCCTCGTTGCTTCAGTTTGGAAATTCCAGCGCTCCAGCGGCCAACGAGGGGGGACGACGCGACTTAGGCTCGGCACCCTTTCAATCCGGAAATGCCGGAGCCCTCGTTCCGGAGGGGAAGGCGCGAGGTTTCCGGGAAAGTAGCACCGCCCCTCTGCCCCCCGTGCCCGGCCACAATAAAAGGCCCACGCGCTGCGGCCATGAGCCCAGTCGGCGCCGCACGTCTCTGCGCTGCCGGAGGTCGGTGCCCTTCTCTCCCAGCTTCGGCCCGCTATGGCTCTCGGCACCGCCCGTCCCGCGCTGCCAGCGCTCCTGGCCCTGATCGGAGCTCTGCTCCCAGGTGAGTCGGGGTGGGGCTGCCGTCGAGCCAACTCCCCGGATCCCCGCTGCGCCCTGGGCGCACGGGGAGGACCCGCTCCCGGCCGGCTGGGGATAAGCCCCTGTCGTACTTAGGTAGCTGTTTATGGGAAGTTGGGGCTAGAGTCGCCGGCTGAAAGTTGACAGCAGTGGGTTCGAATCCAGACCCTGGATCACTTCCACGGGAGGCCTCAAGTTAGAGGTTGACATTCCCGGAGCCTCAGTTTCTCAGCTGTAAGATGGAGAACCTAAGAGCGGCCACTCGAAATGGTCGTGTCCTGGCCGAGTGCCACGCCTGGCTCCAAGACTCGGTCTGATTGTGTGCGGACGTGTCCGGCACCAAGCTGAGTAGGCTGGGGACCCCCCCCCCCAACACACACACATGTACATTCTGTTCCTCGTCCCCCCTGCCCCTGGGGAAGTCCAGGACTGCCTCTGCTCAGGGGAATTCCAGGGCTGACTTGCCCAAAGGCCAGAGGCTGAGAGTGGCATGCCCCAGCACCCCTCCACCAGCCCCAGTCTGGGGGTTGCCGGAGGGAGACAAGGGGAGCGCCAAATGGTGGTCTGTGTTGGGAAGCCGGAGAGTGGGAAAGGGACACCTGTGGTTACCAGCCCAACAAAGGGTTCTAGTCCAGATGCCAATGTGGTTTCTACTGCTTTTCAGCTGAGTAACCGCACTTCTCCCAGCCTCACCATTTCACTCTGTGAAATGGGAACTATCCCAGAATCACTCTCGGAGGATTCACGGAGCTGCTGTTTTCCCACACCTCCATCCAGATAGAGGAACCCAAAGCTGAGGACAGGAATCTTTGCAAGAGGCAGATAGATAGGCCCTTTGGAAGGGCCCAGATAGATATTTTTTTCAGCTTTGGAGGCACCAGGGGGTCGGAGGGAGCTAATCACCACAAGCCCCCTTCTTCCCTGCAAACAGGCACTGTCTGCCCTGTGCTAGGAGTCCATTGCATTAAGCGGGGGCTGGGATGACTATATTTACCCACCTTACAGAAGGGGAAATTGAGGTCTTGAGAGCGGAGACCACTTGGCAGAGGAAGTGAGGAGACAACTCAGTTGGAACTTTTCCATTCCTGGAGGGATAGCCTCCTCCACCTCACATCCTGGGAGAGAGAAGCACACTGACTTCATGTCCCTCCTCTGCTCAAGTCCACCGTGGCTCCCCACTGCCCTCCGAATGAAGAACAAGTCCTTGGCATGGCCTGCCCTGCCCACATGATCCATCTTCCTGACCTTTCTCCCAGCTCTTCCTCCTCACTAACTCTCTCCAGCCACCCTGCCTCAGGACCTTTGCACTTGTGCCTGTTGCCTAGAATTAATTTCTCTCTTCTCTGAATGGCCAGCCCCTTCTCATCATTCGGATCTCTGCTCACACATTACCCTGTCACCAAGTCACTGTCTGTTCTCTCACCCTGCTTTGTTTTTGCCAAAGCTCTTATTAACATCAGTTATTAATTATCTTGTTTGCCTATGAATTTTTCTGTCTCCCACACTGAAGGCAGCGTTTTGCCTCGTTCAGGGCTCTGTGCCCAGCCCTCAACCCAGCTGGGTACACGGTAATTGCTGATGAACCCGATTTGTCCTGACTTCCGTCTTTTGTTCTAGGACTTGGAGGGGCCCAAACATCAGTGCACCCCCTAGAAGCCATCATACCCCGAGGCGGCTCTGTGCAGGTGAACTGTAGTACTTCTTGTGACCATCGCCCCTTCTTGGGCCTGGAGACGCAGCTGACTAAGAAGGAGGTCGCTCAGGGGGACAACTGGAAGATCTTTGAACTGAGTGGTGTGCAGGAAGATAGCACCCCAATATGCTTCTCGTACTGTCAAGCACAGACAATGGTTTCGATGTCTCTCACCGTGTACTGTGAGTGGCTGGGCCCAGGGGCTGGACAAGGCAGGCTGGGTGGGGGAGGTGGACGCGTGCGAGTCCCCTCGGGCTGGGACAGCCTTTGTTGCTTGGTGGTGGGGACAGAGCTGGCTCGCCAGAGCACTGGTGGGCACATCTTCGGAAAGCCTCATTGTCGTTTGAAACCCCTTCTTGAATTTTCTTGGGTGCATTTAGCGTATTGCAGAGATTCAGTACATTTGAGTACTATAGGCCTCTGGAAACATGTGACAGATCCTAGATATGACTCTGTATTTTATTTTTTTATTATTAAAAAAATTGTTTTAAATCTTAATTTTTGACAGAGAGAGAGAGAGAGAGAGCAAGAGCAGGGGAGGAACAGAGAGAGAGGGAGACATAGAATCCAAAACAGGCTCCAGGCTCTGAGCTGTCAGTACAGAGCCCAACACGGGGCTCGAACTCCCCAACCGCGAGCTCATGACCTGAGCCAAAGTTGGACACTTAACCGACTGAGCCACCCAGGCGCCCCTAGATATGACTTTTTAAAAGATGTAGTTTAGGGGCGCCTGGATGGCACGGTCGGTTGAACATCTGACTCCTGATTTTGGCTCAGGTCAGGATCTCACTGTTCGTGGGTTCAAGCCCTACTTTGGGCTCTGCACCGACAGTGTGGAGTCTGCTTGGGACTGTCTCTCTCCCTCTCTCTCTGCCTCTCCCCTGCTTATACATGCTCTCTCTCTCTGTCTCTCTCTCAAAATAAATAAACATTAACAAAGAAGGAGATGCAGTTTAGGGGCACCTGGGTGACTCAGTGGGTTAAATGCGTCTGACTTTGGCTCAGGTCATGATCTCACAGTCCGTGAGTTCGAGCCTCACGTCGGACTCTGCTGACAGCTCAGAGCCTGGAAGCTGCTTCAGATTCTGTGTCTTCCTCTCTCTCTGCCCCTCCCCTGCTTGTGCTCGGCCTCTCTCTCTCTCTCTCTCTCTCTCTCTCAAAAATAAATAAACATTTAAAACAAAATGTTAAAGAAGATGCAATTTAAAAGTAGCCCGGACATGGCAATTTTCACATATTGGCAGCAGTCAAAAGGGTTGATAACAGCCATGCTGGCAAGACGGTGGGGAAGCGGGCAGTCCTGGGACATCGCTGACAACGTGGGAACAGAGAAGCACAGCCCCGAGTGGGGAAGTGGTGTCAGTTCTCTAAGTGGCCCACGCATGTGTGCTTTGACACAGAAATCCCATTCCTCGGGATTGGGCTTATGTGTGTCCCCAGCCCCGCGGGAGCGGTGTGGGCTGCGGGATGGGGTTATTTTACTGTGGCTTTATTTGCATGGGCAAAAGTTTGCAACCCACTCGGGCACAGGGCACGGGAGAGATACGCTGTAGTTTGCTCACTTGAAGGCGCAGTATGCAACTGCACAAAGAGAAGGAGGAAGCTCCCATGTCCTGAAAGAGAAATGACCTCCAAGGTGTCCCATCACGTTCAAGAGAAGAGAGGCGTGCCCAGAACGAGTGGCATGCCATCCTTGGTGTTGAGGACCAGCAGGGTGGGGTGAGGGCCGCCCGTGTTGACACAGAAAGGAGCCAGGAGAGGAAATCCAAGAAATGAGAGAGAGAGGCTGGGGGAGGGGCGCTCCGGGAGAGGGCCTGGGGCCAGTGTTTTCTATGTGCCTTCTTCTTCTCTGGGCACTTTCAACTGTGAGAACTACTATTACCATAGGCAATGAATAAATAAAATTCAGATGAAAACAAGATGGAACAAACAAACAAGGAAGAAAAGACAGAAAGAGTTAGCCAACTGGTCTCGGGGTTAGACAGCTTTGGGTTCCAGTCCCAGCATGGCCTTTATGGACCGGGTGGCCACAGGGGATATGGCTTGTTCACTGACTTTGCCATGAGACCTCCTCGCGTGGGTGTAATGATGCATTGAGGCGTGAAGGACACTCCACCATCATGGTGTCTGGGCAAAGCCTTTGGGGAAAACAGCGGCTTTGCTTCTGATTTGGAGCATGTTTGGGCAGATTCTGGCCAGCTGAGGAGAGTCCCCAAACGTTCCCAGTGGCCTGTAAAACCCCAGGCAAACCTCCTCGAGGGACTTCTGCATCTTGGCATGATAGTTGAAAACCCAGTGCTCCAACTTTGGGGCCTGGGTCTGCCACGTCTCTCCCTCTGTGACTTTGGGTACCAGCCTTTGCCTTAATTTCCAGCTTTGTGAAATGGAGCCGATGTCCTGCACACAGGCAGGGGGTCACCTAGGAGAGGCCCTGTCTGGCTTGGTCCTGCCCCACCCCTGGTGTAAAGATCCCTGGGTGGCTGAACTTTCTCTAGAAAGGATGAGCGTGTTACCTCCTGTAGGAGATGACCCCTAACTGGTCCTTGAAGGGTGAGTAGAAGTTGGTATAGACAGGCATTCAGGGCAGAGGGAACAGCCTAGGTTTGAGTGGGAAAACATGCTGAACGGAGGGGGTCGGTGTTAGGAAGGGCTGAATACCAGCAGATTGGTGGGGATTTCCTCAGGGTGTTAGGAAGCCATGGAGGGTGTGAGAGCAGGCCAGGGATCTAGATAGCAGAAGGCTGGGCTGCCTGGGTGGCTCAGTTTGTTAAGTATCCAACTCTTGGTTTTGGCTCAGGTCACGATCTCACGGTTCATGGGTTCGAGCCCCGAATGGGATTTTCTCTCTCTCTGCCCCTCCCACGTCTCTCTCTTTGGCTCTCTCTCTCTCTCTCAAAATAAATAAGCAAATAAACTTAAAAAAAAAATCATTAGCAGAAGGCTGGCCTTTTGGGAAGCCAGCGAGCAGTTGGCCGTGGACCTCGTCCAGGCCACATGTGTGGGCAGTGGCTGGGTACAGGAAGGGAGGGCAGACAAATACTTGGAAGAGGGAACTAACCAGGACTGAAGGTTGGGGTTCAGGGAGAGGCAGAGGCAAGACAGACCTCCTCCCCCAGTCTGGCCTTCAGGGCAAGGAGCTGTGCTCAGAGATAGGAACTCCTTCTGGGGGCTGAGGTTTGAGGTTTGCACCCAGCTCTGCAAATTCGTGTTTGCAGCAGGTGCTTATGGGTAAGCACTGGATGTCTAAAGGTTTTCTTGCCCCCCACCCCCGTTTGTTTTTAAAGCTATACTGAGATATCATTTACAGAATACATACATAAGTCACCCCTTTCAAGTGTACAATTCAACAAATTTGCATGTATTTATAGAGTAGCACAGCTCTCACCACCATCTAATTTTAGAACATTTCCATCACCCTAAAAGGAAACCTCATGTCCATTTACAGTCATTCTATTTCTTAAATGCATTAATGAAAGCCCTACCTCCAATAACCCATTTTACAGCTCAGGAAACTGAGATTCGATTTCCCCAACTGCGAGGGCTGGAGCAATTTCCAGGGCAAAGTCGCTCGCCTACAGCTCATAGCACAGAAGCCCCAAAGCTAGGAATCAAACCCAGGGCCCTCAGTGCTAAGTCGCAGCTCACTGGGACTCTGCTTTTAATTTTCACTTTCAGTCCTGGCCTGAAATTCTGTTACTTTATGTGTGACGGGGACCCTGGCCTGCAAAACCCAAGCCCACATGTTGTGTTTTCAGGGGATACTCAGAGTTCCGTTTTGAGTGTCTGTTGGTTATTCTTGCATTTTTAACATTTCAGGGGACCACGCAGCACATTTGGGAACTTCTTTCCCCTAAAAGGGGGCTCCTGAAAGGCCTTAAGTCAGTGTGGGTGGCTCAAACTTATTTTTTCTATAAATACAGAGAGCCTACTGTATGCCACCAACAGATCAGAGAACAAAGCTGACAAAGACCTCCCCCCCCCCCCT